GGCAGAACGCAAAATTAACGTGTTTTTTGGCAAAATTTCATCAAATTCGCACATTTTTGCACGCCTCTTGGCAAACGAGAAAACTCATGCACCAGCGATGGAGAAAGCAAAAAGACCTAACCTTTGAGTTTTGCAAAATTGATCAGGATGAAATTGACGCGAAATTAGCAGAACGGCGCCGGCAGCATCGCAAACTGACCGCTACTCTGCTCAGCCGGCAATGCAGTGGCCTGCTTCGTCAGCCTTATTCGGAGTGCCGACCGCGCCAATATGCATCTCTCGGACAACGCATAAAACTCGCAAGTGCTAAAAAATGTCGCAAAAACGACCATGTTCCGTCCCCTTAGCGGACGCACAGCGATACACGTGCATGCCTCATTTTACCTCACCTCTTCCCGAAAATCTAAAAAAGAAGCCATAGCAGAAGGCGACCGCATCACCTTCAACGCTTCCTTGCCATGCATAAACGGAGAAAGCGATCATACGAGCAGTTACAAACAAAAGCAACCATAGGGCAGAAATGTAAAACATTTTGAAACGATCAATGAGGCAAATTCAAATTTTACGCCTTATTTTTATTCTGAATTTTTCAGCCCAAAACTGATGATACAATGAGAATTCGAGAAGTTTCATGGAAGAAGCAAAAAATGTATGACACTGCGGAGATCGAATTCGGCTAGTGTAAATTTCAAACTGTTCGATCTGCCACAACCAACAAGCCGTTACTGCGCCGAATTTACAAACGGAAGGGGAAAGAGGCTCACCAGACGAAGAAGCGGGATTAAGTTAAAAAAACAACCGAACTGAGCCTAGGAACGATGGAACGAACAAGCTGCCGATGAACTCTCTCGCAGAACTTTGAAGATGCGCCCTCCGCTAAGCGAAACACGATGTAACCGCTAGCCGGAATGAACAACAGCCACCACGATAAGCACAAGGCAATGGAAATGTGCAAATAAGCCAACTAGGAATAATGGTAGCACTGGGAAGCCTGCTTGACCCAACGTTGCGGGCCATCGGCTAGGCAAATGCGCCGCAGAATTTCTGACCAGTCCGATCTGTGTGAAAATACCAGAATTCTGATTTATGAATCATCGAAATTTACCGAAATCATCGAATCGACGTCGAATCGGAAATCTGTCAGCACACTGTGGAATTAACAAGCACGTCACAGATCACCTGACTCACGGCATTCGCTAAACTAAAACTTCAATAACGCCTCCAAACGAACCATAGACCTACTGGGCGTAAGCCAATTTCGTTTTTGGATCTACGCAAATGCGAACGCATCATCACGTTTACAGTAATAAATAAATAAATAAATGAATAAATAAATAAATAAATAAATAAATAAACAAACAAATAAATAAATGGCAATGCGCACTAGACTAGCCGGTACGATCATAAGTTTTGTGCAATTCAGCCCATCGAACGGTTGCCTATTAATGATTTCCACTGCTTTGTACTTTAGTCTATGCAAAAATAGTTCAAACACTGGAAAACAGTTAAAAATTTCACG